TATAAAATATTTTGTCAAAATGTAACTAATCTTTAATCCATTTTTACTATATTTATCTTCTTTATATTTTTATTTTATTAAAAATAAAATGTCTATAAAGAATATTTTTATTTGATATTTAAACATTTTTAAAAATATTTTATAAAATGTAAAAATACTTTTAATGAGTGTTACTAAATTATATATCCTTTGTATATATTTTATATTCATATTAAAATATTTTAATGATCTTATATTGTATGAAAAAATATTTAATACCGTATTGTCCCGAATATAAGACAATATGTTTTTCTTGGAAATACATCTGAAAAAACGCGGTCGTCTTATATTCAGGGTCTAGACTTTGACATGTCAATAATACACCCACAACACTAGGTGGCGCCAAATACACATAAACCGAGTGTGCCATGAAATACGTAATGTAATGCGTGTTGTAAAGATCGCGAGTAAAAACAAAAGAAAAAGAAAACCTTACAGCTGCACGATTTTTTTTCTCCTTTATATATTTTATGTTTCTTTATTACATTTTCAGTGATCTATTTATATATTTATGACCTATTTGTTTTATGAAAAAATAAAAATGTTTAGTTTATTCATATTTAATATTTTATACTTTTAACACATTTTACTAAATGATGTATCTTTTAAATATATTTTATATGTATATTGAGTGTTTTTACGATTTACAATGATCCTATTGTTGTATGAAAAAATATAAGTTTATGTATTTTATTTTTATTCATTATTTAAATGTTTTAAATTAAATGTAACTATACTATAATAATAATAATAATAATAATAACTATTATTATTATTATTATTATTAATTATTATTTATTTAAGTTTCTATTCTTGTAATGAAACTGAAAGCAAAGTCTGATCTGGATCGTCTCATGGTGATCTCCTGATTCCTGTGTTTTGTTGTGTGTTTGTAGCTGGAGGTGTTCTGTGAGGTGATGACCATACAGCAGGCTGGATACGTCATGCTGACCGACTACCTGCAGAACAACTACAGAGAACAACAGCAGCAGTTCATGGGACAAGTGTTCTCTTCCTACACCGGCACAGAGGAAGTTCCTGCTCCCAGTATGCAAACCACACACACACACACACACACACACACACACACACTGTATAAAATAATGATCAGAGAGCAGCGAGAGGTCACGGGCCAATACGGTATTTAATAATATTCTATTTTACAAAATGCAACTATACAGTTTATGGATTTTATTATTATTATTATTATTATTATTATTATTATTAATTATAATAAGTTATGTTATATAATTAATTTTTAAAGATTCTGTTATTGTAATGAAACTGTACACACTTCTCTGTGTACACAACTCCGTTTTGCCAGTAATGTGGATCTCTTGCTGTGTTCAGTGTGCAGCTCTAAACCGCAGAACGTGCAGGCGGACTCTCAGAACTACACGGGTATGGTGGTGACGTGGGAAAGGCCGCGGGCCGTCTATGACACCACCATTGAGCGCTACTCCGTCACCTACCAGAGACTGCAGGGCAGAGACCCACCAAAACAGCAGTATCTCACAGACGGAGACCAGGATGTGGTGAGCGCTTTTAGACTTCAGCCATGATTAATATAACTGATGAGTGAAGCACAGTAGGGGCATCTCACTCAGCGCTGTAAAGTGCTCGCTGATAGTTCAAGGTTACACTGGTCCTGATGGTTAGAAACAGGTGTTATGGTATGATATTGTCTTGTTTTTCCAGGGGGCCATTATCCATCATCTGCTGGCAAACAGTAGCTATGTTGTCCAGGTGGTGGCGCTCTGCACCAATGGCTTGACGGGAAAAATGAGTGACCAGGTTATTGTGGACATGCCTCTCGAAGACCCTGGTAATCTCACAAAAATATCATAAATGCCTGGGTCATATTTTACACCAAAATCAATTAAGAATGTTTAAGAAAGGATTTTAACAATTCATTTCAGTTAGGCGCATGTACAATAACATGAATCTATAATGAAAAATATTAAGTATTCATTTTTTACACACACACACACACACACACACACACTGTATAAAATAATGATCAGAGAGCAGCGAGAGGTCAAACCTCCTCCTCTGACCGTGGACACGCATGCGTTGCGCTTTTTAAAACCCTGCAGCGAGTGCATGTTGCTAGGTAACCCTACTCTGGCGCTTTTCCAAGAAAGCAAATGCACCAATTCTGTTTCAAACAGAGCTGATCGAGAAGCAGTTTTGTAAGTTATTGCTATTCGACTGAAGTTACGGCTCCTTATTAGAACAAACTGTTCTGCAATAGCATGATATTCTCTCAGGCTCTCCATCTGAATATTCACAATATAACACACCGTCTAGTATCTTAACTTATTAATCTTGCTTTCCCTCCCAAGAAATTAGGCTAAGAATTACTTTTACTTAGTAGTTTACTTTTACTTACTTAAAAAGTAAAATTTTATTTAACAAATTAAGTAATTTTAATTAATTTAAGATGGTTTTAATCTTCTTTATATATTTTATGTTTATTGGCCATTATCCATCATCTGCTGGCAAACAGTAGCTATGTTGTCCAGGTGGTGGCGCTCTGCACCAATGGCTTGACGGGAAAAATGAGTGACCAGGTTATTGTGGACATGCCTCTCGAAGACCCTGGTAATCTCACAAAAATATCATAAATGCCTGGGTCATATTTTACACCAAAATCAATTAAGAATGTTTAAGAAAGGATTTTAACAATTCATTTCAGTTAGGCGCATGTACAATAACATGAATCTATAATGAAAAATATTAAGTATTCATTTTTTTAAATTGTAATATTTAAGGCACATTTGTAAAGTACAATTCTAACATAAGCATTCAATAATTATAATAAATAAACTACCATGATGAATACTTATATAATACTTATTAATAATATCAATTATTTGTTTGTTTACAGAATTTGTATTAAATACATATAATAATAATAATAATAATAATTGTTATTATTATTATTATTATTATTATATAAGTAAGTCAGACCATTATCTTTTCTTGTAAAACGTGACACTAAGATTGCGAATTCTAAATTCGAATTCGATAGTTGGAAGTTGTTGTTGTTGTTGTTGTTGTTGTTATTATTATTATATAAATATTCATCATGGTAGTATTTGTTTACAGAATTTATGTATTAAATATATAATAATAATAATAATTATTATTATTGTTATTATTATACAAGTATTCATCATGGTAGCATTTGATTACAGTTTATTTATTAATTATATAATAATAATAATAATTTGTATTATTGTTATTATTATTATTATTATTGTTATTATTATACAAGTATTCATCATGGTAGCATTTGATTACAGTTTATTTATTAATTATATAATAATAATAATAATAATAATAAT